TCCTATTAGAAATATTTATCTGAGTAAAATCTGACTAATATTTTAATATATATTTGTCTATATTTTTAATTTAATATAATCTTAACTTTACATCACGTTTATTCAGGCCTGATGTGATTCTAAAATATTTTCTCTGTAATTCGACTTTTGTAATTAATTTATTTTTAATTAATTTTATATTATCATACAAAATGGATATAGATATAAAGTTTATTAAGGTTTGATAAAAAAATGTTATATTTTTATTTTTGAAATTATCAGCTTATAATCTGTTTCATTTCTCTAGTAGAAGAAAACAGAACTTAAATTCAAACAGAATTTTTTTAATCAAATCATGACTATATGTATCAAAATTGTTGCGATATCTCATTATGACAACAATTACATAAAATATCTCAGAATATACTAGGACTATATTCTTCTGAATAATGATATCTTTGGAAATAATGTATGGAGATCTCGATTCGTAATAACAAGGTCGCAAGATATAATATTGCGAAATATAGTGGTTCTCGAATACCGCAAATTATCTACATATCACCGAGTTTTTTTCAAACCGCGGTTTCCAGCGGTAACTACATGGTGGTTTTGTTAGAGCATATCGCGGTAAACCTATATTGCGGTATGACATACCGCGATAAAATGCGGTTTATTTCGCATACCGCGGTCTCCAAAGATATAACCGCGGTCATTATCAAAAAACCGCGTCTAACAGTGGTATCTACTTAAATATTTTTCCGTGGGTAGTAGGACTGCTCCTCGATTAGAATAGGGAAAAGGATTTTTTCACTAAATCTTTTCATTCAATTAGTTGTGAAACCATTTTATTCGGTGATTACAAAAGTACTAATGATAAATCATGTTAACTTATCTATCAACCATTTTGAAAGTTGTTACTTTTCTATAGTTCAATGTTGATTAGTGCTGAAAGACTGTTCAACAAAATATTACCGTTAATTGGATGAATGAACCATGCACTAGAACCCACTATCTCAATAACAGATTGAAGACACCGAATAATTTGAAAAATAAGTTGATGATACCAGTCCTTCAAAATGGATTCAAATCTAGAAAACAAATTATTATTTCAGAAGAAAAACAATCTTGTCTACAGTTGACAAGCTGAATCAACCGATTGGTGAAAAAAACGAACACAATAGTTGAAAACAGCAATGTGAGAGTAAAAGTATGCAGGCAGTAACTGGGGATGTTGATGTATGCACAGTACTTCTTTTTCCCCCGAACAGAAAGCGAAAAATAAAAATTTATTATAAAGAAATTCCATCAAAGAACAAAAGAAATAAAAGGACCGGCTTCCAACGTAACTGCACGACAAAGTATACTTTTGCATACATTCTCTGATAACACGATGAGATCAAAGGTCGTCCGATAACTATAACATTGGCAACACCAAAAGACAACCATAATAGAGTTCTCTCTGCAGAGCACTCATAACGTTTTTTCTTGCCCATAATATTTATTTCCAGTAAAGAAAAGCAAATTTACCTAAAGGATGTAGCATTAGTTTGTATCCCCTGATGCAACTGTTTTTCTCACATGTTTCATCAGTTGAAAAGACTGATGTTTCCGTTGGCGTAGAAATCGCCGAAAAGCTGCAGATTAATCACCAATTTTCAATGATACTTTTAGTGATTATTAAGATCAATCGCAATTCATTTCCCGGTTATTTTTAATGCTAACCATAGCTTTATTCCCAATCTAATCTCAAATTTTCGTGATCACAGATTCATTTATTTATTTTCTTAAAACCCCAGCTACCTTTTAGATTAGAGTTTATTTAAAAAAGCTTTTCAGCGCAACCCCGTTTGGGCTAAAATGTGAAACTCACATATTTTGGGTGACTTAGACAATTTTGAAAGCATGCTCAGCTATTTTAATTCAATACTTCTAGGTAAATTATTCGTTTATTACTGGTATGATATTGCAGAATAGAAATTAATTGTAACATTCTGAATATTCTAATCGATTTAACAAAATACTTCTATCAGACACACCTAATAAATATAATTCGTTATATTTAAATACTTGCAATACGATTGAAGTTACTAGTATTAATTCAGAGTGATTTAAGCGCGATATTTATTAGTTTATTTTTTTATTCTTAGAATTAAGTATGATATTAATCAGAAGCTACTTCTATAATTATAAATAGCATGATAGTTCTATG